GAGATAAAGGAGAATAATTTGTCTTATCAAAGGGTGTTCTAAAGTAATTGAACTCGCCTGTGTGGACTTTTACGAAGAGAAGACAATTATTTAATGTTCTGTAACGTAAATGAAGCTATCGCAGATCATGCTGTAAGAAAGAGAGTAGAGAAAAATAATGGGTCTTGTTAATTGAGTTCTAAAATAATTGAACCAGCTTGTGTGGACTTTTGACAAGGAAGAGAATTATTTAAACCTTTAGATACAACTTTAATAACCAATAGTGACACGAAATTTTGTAAATACATTTGACTTGTTTTGAATATCTTATTTTAAAACAAGTGTATTGTGTACTGTCCGTTTATTGTTGACATTTATCGCCAAGAAGACACAGACACATACTGTAAAAGGATTCCAGCCCATAAAAAAGAACCCTAACATTTATGAGAAACATTTTTTTTAGATCTAATTATTGCTTTGAAATTCTAAGTGTTCGTATTATATGACGTAATTTCGTAGAATTGTTATTTGTTAAAAGCGTTTTCATTATTTTTAGCCGCGGCATATCGGCTCATAAATGGCTCTAAGTTTTTATCAAGTAAAAACGTTTAGCTCATAGTTCCCTCATCTCTTGACCGATTTGAGATCTAATTACAGTTTTGTATTCAGTAGGTCAAATCCATTCGATTGATGTATTTGACCACCCTCAAGGTCTCATAGATTAATTTACTCTAATCCTGTCTAAAAGAATTTCAATTGGAGGATAGGCTGGTAGAGATCCTGGTGAGTAATAAAATCGAATCAGGTATACACGTGTCCCACGCTTGGTATTGCTGGCACACAAAAATATAGCTAATAAAAGGAAAAAAAAAGGTTTCGTAGATTAATTTACTCTAATCCTGCTTAAAATAATTTCAAGTGCTGCGGCTATTGAGGATTCCCTCTTGCTTTCTCTGCCTTAAATAGATTTTGTTGGTGGGTTAATTACATTTCTTTTGTGCATGTTTTTATATAGTTGGTCATATTGCTATACTGTTTTACCTGTGTTGTTTATATATATATATATATATATATAAACATTTACGTCATGAACACCCTTTCGACGACAAATCAGATCTTTATAATTACAGAACTGTCCTCCGGTAGGACAGCAGTAAGTCTATGGACTTGCAAATTTTAAAATCCTGGGTTCGATTCCCCGCGGTGGACACAGCAGATGGCCGAATGTGGTTTTGCTCTAAAACAAGCAATCATTACAGAGCTTACAACCATTAATATGCCACACAAAAAAGAGCAGTAAGTTTCAGTACATTTAATTTCATGTTATACTAACATTAGTAAACAGCCAGGTTAGGGAAATAAAATAGCAGCTAAGAAGAAATATAGTTAGTATATCGTTTTGTCAGGTAAGGCATGTTCAGAAGGAAATGGGATTTGAATTCGCCTATACGAGTCATATCGGATTACAACAATACTAAGGTGAGTAGCTTTTTGTCAGTTAAGGCATGTTAAGAAAGAAATGGGATTTTGATTCACCTATACCAATCATATAACATTACAATAATACTAAGGTCAGTATTGTTTTGTCAGATAAGGCATGTACAGAAGAAAATGGGATTTGAATTCGCCTATACGAGTCATATCGGATTACAACCATACTAAGGTGAGTAGCTTTTTGTCAGTTAAGGCATGTTAAGAAAGAAATGGGATTTTGATTCACCTATACCAATCATATAACATTACAATAATACTAAGGTCAGTATTGTTTTGTCAGATAAGGCATGTACAGAAGAAAATGGGATTTGAATTCGCCTATACGAGTCATATCGGATTACAACCATACTAAGGTGAGTAGCTTTTTGTCAGTTAAGGCATGTTAAGAAAGAAATGGGATTTTGATTCACCTATACCAATCATATAACATTACAATAATACTAAGGTCAGTATTGTTTTGTCAGATAAGGCATGTACAGAAGAAAATG